GTCGTATGATCTGGCTGTATAGCAAATGAAAAAATAAAATTTCTTTACTATGCAAGTAAATGTGATGTTAAAAGATTCATGTTTATTTATTTATGGCCCCTTTAAAACACATGATACAGGCCCCGCACTAGCTTCATCCGGCACTGCCTGCAGTACAAATACATATTCTGATTCTGACCAGTCACCAGACACCTCACCACTCTCACGACACCAGCACTCACCAAATGGAGTTCAAAATAACTCACAAACACACTGGTTGTGAAAGACCCAACGCAGATCACCTGGGGTTTGATCTTCCACGAAGCTGCTCGCAGTCCACCCATAAACTGCATCCACTGCATAAACCATGATATCCTGATGCACAAATGGAAAATTAAAACTTCTCCCGTAGTAGTCGCGTGACTGTGATCATTCAGAACAGAGACGGTAACAACATATAACGACGCAATGAGACTCACAGAGATCCGTGAAAATTCATACCATAAATACGGGGACATCACAGCGATGATGATGATGATGTATGAAAAAATAACAATAGGTTTTATCCTTTCTGGCAATAAAACAGGTGTTAAGATGTTCAAACACAAAATAGAAAACGTTTGCAAGAAAACAAGTTACTGCATTAACCACACACGGTACTTGCGGTGAATATGCAAACAAGCATATTTGCGGAATACACCACGCCGCCGTTGACCCTGCAGGCCATTGACCGAGCAACCCAACGTTCCTACCAGCTCCCTCCGCAGGAATGTGTTATATAGACATTGTCTTTGAAACTGATTGGCCTACACCAGAGACAGCCTTCTTCAGATTCTAGTCTCACTACCAGTGTCAGACCAGAGAACGCCGAAAGGTGAACAGAAGAAGGCAGAACATTTATAGCTCGAGGTCAGCAGCTACAAAATGGGACCTTTATGCCAGTATCATTTGATACTGGCAAAAAATTAACCCGTAAAAACAAAGTTTTTCACTCTAAATCCTTTATATGCGTGGCGGCTAGAGTCCTCTCGTCCTCTGGCTTGAGATGGCTGCCACCTATGGGTCAGATGATTGTCTGCCAGTATTAAGCAATTGGTGATTAAATATTTAATTTGTTTTCCCTAAACAGTGTAAAATTTTTGAAAAAAAATTTCACGAACATTAATTGTCTCGCACAACGAGTCTGTGTGCAAAATGTCAGCTCGATTGGATCACGGGAAGTGGGTTAAAAAACGACCGAAAGATTTGCACGGTCGTAAGCAAGCAAGCAAGCACGCAAGCACGCAAGCAAGCAAGCAAGCGAACTTAATATAAAGGATTTAACAAGTATAACCCGTAAAAACAAAGTTTTTCACTATAAATCCTTTATATGCGTGACGGCTAGAGTCATCTCGTCCTCTGGCTTGAGATGGCTGCCACCTATGGGTCAGATGATTGCATTGCACCATTAAGCAATTGGTAATGAAATATATCTTTGTCCTAAAAAGTGTAAAATTTTGGGAAAAAAATTTCACGAACATTAAAGTAATATTAATAGCACACATTGTGGTGGGGGTGTAGTCAAGAGTAGGAAAAACTTTGATGAATTTACCTCAGAGTGGCGTGGTGGGTGTCGAGGCCTAGTAGCGTCCAAAGCCTGCGGCCTCGCCTAAAATTGTCGGCTTGGAAGAGGCAGGGTACGGGTGGCGTTCCTCCCCCCCCCCCCCCTAGCGCTCCAACAATACTGTGTAATGGCTATTATTTAATTAATTACAGAGCTTATGAAAGTGGCGAAGGCGTGGCTAGCGGTTGGCAGGGGCAACCGCCGTCCAATGAAACTGCAGCCCTTGGCGAAGGCATCGCTAGCCGTTGCCAGGTCCAATGAAAGCGGCGAAGGCGTCGCTAGCCGTTGCCAGGGGCAACCGCCGTCCAATGAAAATGCGTATGGTCCGGAGACACAGACACACAGACAGACAGATAGACAGATTCACGATTTTATATATATAGATAGGGTATTGATAAGGGGTTCATAGGTATGTAGTGGTGAGTGTAGTGGTGAGTGTACTAGTGGTGAGTGTACTAGTGGTGAGTGTAGTGGTGAGTGTACTAGTGGTGAGTGTACTAGTGGTGAGTGTACTAGTGGTGAGTGTAGTGGTGAGTGTAGTGGTGAGTGTACTAGTGGTGATTGTAGTGGTGTGTACTAGTGGTGAGGTTAGTAGTGTTGAGTATCTATTCGTTTGTGTTTCTCCCTTGTGATGGTGCTTTGTAGGATGAACGTTGAGATGTATAAGGGGCACAGGGTGACCCATGAGGTTTGAATTGGTGGGTGTGGAGTGACATCGCTGGATGTCAACATTCTGGGTGAAGTGCCAGTCCTAGATAGCGCTAGATGGCACCACGCTTTACGTGTAGTGCCGACCCTACAGGACATGGTGTGTGGGTGCCAGCCGAGGGATGAGGTTATGTGAGGCCATGGCACTCTGGTTGACCTGGGAGGACACGTGACCATACTCTTAGGTTTTTTCGGTAAAGTCACGTATGTAAAAAAATTAAATTAAAAGTTAATAAAAGTAATAATGGAAATAAAATAATAAATCACGACGTTTCGGAGGCAACACAAGTCTCCGTCATCAGGTGGGACCGTCACAGCTAAAATTACTGCATCACTTGATGACTCCGAAACGTCGTGATTTATTATTTTATTTCCATTATTACTTTTATTAACTTTTAATGATATTTTTCACCTACGTGACTTTACCGAAAAAACCTAAGAGTATGAATCCTTGCAGTCACGAAAGCTTCAAATCTAGACACGTGACCAGTCAAGTCGACAAAGGGGGCCCAAGAAGGGGCTGGGGGGGGGGGGGTCAGGTGATTAGGACCCAGATCCTTCCAGAGGATTCTGGAAGGTAGACGTGGCCAAGGGCGGAGCCGGCCATGCCACAGAGAATATAAGCCGGGTCCCGATAGGGACCAGGGTTGTTGTTCAACCTGGAAAAAAACCTTCATCGACGTTCTCCGTTCAACGAGTCTCCAACACGTGGACCCGGGCCGAAGTCGTTGGTCCCGGTCCCTAGTAGCAGTCACATCATCACACAGCAGTGACGTGCGGTGAGGTCAATGGCTGGGGAGGCACTGGCTCGTGTCAGAGCCAGATTCACACACTGAGGGGGGCGTGTCCTCACTGAGGGGGGCGTGTCCTCACTGAGGGGGGCGTGTCCTCACTGAGGGGGGCGTGTCCTCACTGAGGGGGGCGTGTCTTCACTGAGGGGGGCGTGTTGGACACGGCCCCCTCAGTGAGGCAGATGTGATAGCTGCCTCCCCTGACCGCACGTCCCTGGTAACTCGTGTAGTTAGCCTGGTGGTCACCACCATAGGTTGTTATTCTGTTCGGGGCAAAGTTACCCCGTGTGTTGGAATTGAATCGATGTGTTGCCTCCTGGTCTACGACTCAGTTGAATCCATTACAGATGTACTAGTGGTGAGTGTAGTAGTGGTGATTGTCTATTCGTTCGTGTTTCTCTCTTGTGATGGGATTGTCGGATGAACGCTGAGATGTATAAGGGCACGGGGTGACCAATAAGGTCTGAATTGCTCTGCCATAAGGCAGGCACTGATAGGGGGTTGACAGGTATATCATTGGAGAGCCGCTTGGTTGGACATGGATATCACGAACACCACAACCGCCACGAGGTGGCGCCACTGCATGACAGCTCGGATGCGGATTGCTAGATGGTGATTGGTTGGAAGGTTTGAAAGAGGTGGGAATATTTGAAAGGGGCGCAAGGGGAGATTCCGTTGGGGACTCTTAGAAGGGGAGCAGAGGAATTGTTTAGAAGAGGCTTGGGCAGGGATTGGAGAGGAGGAGAGCAGAGGTCGCAAACGGGTACCCGATACCCGTACCCTACCCGATACCCGACCGGGTACGGGTACCCGTTTGCAACCCTGGTGCGGCCAGGTACGGGTACGAGTAGGCCGTGAGTCACTGGTGAGTAACCGTTTGTCACTCATTTCGGGTAGGGTACGGGTAGGGAATGGGTACCCGTACCCAGCCGGGTACGTGTACCCATTTGCGACCCTGGTGCGGCCGGGTACGGGTAAGGAATCAAAACCCGTTTGCGACCTCTGGGGGAGAGAGGAGGATGAGAGCGAAGAGGGAGGGGGAAGCAAGGGAGTGGTGATGGCTGGTAGTGGACACGTTGTTGTTGTTGTTGTTAAGGACAATAAAACATATCCACAAAGTGACGCCTTTGCAATCCTTCTTCTTGGTTCTTTCGGTAAAGTCACGTAGAATGGAAATAATAAAATAAAAACATAATAAAATAATTCTCACGACGTTTCGGCCACAACGCAAGCAGCCGTCCTCAGGTGAAGAACAGGTCTGTCGAGACGATAGAGTCTGAAAGAACCAAGAAGATGAATCCCTGCAGTCACGAAAGCTTTAAATCGAAATTTGCAATCCTTCATTACACGCGCATACACATAAGTCAAGATTGCGTAATAATCAAATCTCGTGGTTGGTAAATTCGCGGGTTGGCAAGAGATTACAGTGGTCCCTCGGTTTAACGTTTTGTTTTAATCCGTTCTACTAAAAAGACTGTAAACCGAAATAACTGTCGATAGAATTCACTTATATAAGTTGGAAAATTAGTAATAAAAACATCACGGAGCCTGCAAGAAGAGAGAGCTGTTTTCCACTGCCCAAAACAGAAAGCGTGCAATGTAAACAAAGCCCGGTCGAGGTCCAAACCCCTCATAAATGGTGCGGCGCCATTGGTCGATGGTATGGCTCAACTCCACTTACGAGCACTCCGATTGGCTGAAATTAGCGCCACCGCGTGCACAACCTAAACCACGCATACCGTTAGTCAGCGATGTTAACGCGAGTCGAAACCCATGGGGGTCCAATTGGTGAAACATTAACGGGAAAAAAAAAACATTGACCGATCTCACTGTTAACCGAGGGACCACAAGAACAGGTCTGTCGGAAAGACAGCGTCTGAATGATTCAGACGCTGTCTTTCTGACAGACTTGACGGCTGCTTGCGTTGTGGCCGATACGTCGTGAGAATTGTATTTTATTATGTTTTATTTTCATTATTTCCCTTCTACGTGACTTTACCGAAAGAACCAAGAAGATGGATATGCATTGTCTTAGAAACTGATTGGCATACCCGTCAACCCATACGGTTTACCCCGTATTCTTCTTGCACAGGGACATTGAGTTTTCAGGTCCAAACGGTATAGTGCCATTTCAATACAGGTAACAAAAAATGTCTGTGTTCTCCCTTGTAGGATGAACGTTGAGATTTCTAAGTGCACGGGGTGACCAATAAGGTCTGAATTGGTCTGTGATAAGGTAGGGCACTGATGAGGGGTTGCCAGGTATGTCGTAGTAGTAGGGCTTTCGCGACCAACAGTATTGCATGATAGATGTGTTCTGCTATAAATGCCCAAGTGATGATAAGCCACTTGATTGAGCTATTATAATTTTCGATTACCAGGTTGCTTCTGAAAAAGCGCTTTTACATACAGTTTCTCAGTGGGCCTTACCTGATGAAAATAAAAAAGTTTGGTTCAACACGGAAGCCTTTCGCGACCAATAGTATGCATCACCGAGGTGTTTTTGGGTTAGATATATATAATTAAACCCGCCACAGGCAAATGATTAAGGTTTGTCACGTAAAGAAAACACGTCACAAATTGCCACGTTTTCTTTAAGTGACAAACCTTACTAATTGCCTGTGTCGGGTGGTGGCGGGTTTAACGACACATTTATACTTAACACGATCTTACCCAAAAAAAGCTCGATTATGGATACTGATGAACCCTCTTCTATCGGTTTGCTGTCAAGGACCCATTCCATAATTTTATGAACCACCCATCCACTCATCCCCCTCACTCCCCTTCCCCCATTCACTCAACTCGCTCGTCCAGGAGCTCACCCAAATACCCATTCACTCGTTTATTAGCTTACACACCTAATGCATTCACTTACTCATGATTATATTCTTGCGTATGGCAGCAATATGTTCGGAAACTGAGTGCAATGTCGAGGTCTGCTAGCTATGATATATGTACATCGAACTTCTTTCACACCGTACGTGGCCCCAACCGTAGTAATCTGTGGGTCTCTATGGGTGTGAGTGGCTGTGTGTGTACAGTATGTTGAACTTCTGTCGCACCATACATAGCCCAACCGTGCTAATCTGTGGGTCTCTAGGGGTCAGGGTGTCTCTATGGGTCTGGGTATCTGTGGGTCTCTGTGTATGCGTGTACAGTATGTTGAACTTCTTTCACACCGTACGTCGCCCCTACCGTGCCGATTCAGCGTTTTTAGGAGAGTTTGTGCAGTGTTGCTATTCCCCTCCTCCGTCGAAGTAGCGCACACCCACCGAGGTTTATATAATGACAACGGTCCACATGTACACTATGAGACCTCCTTTACCAGTGGCAAAATATAGTAGTAGGTTGTTACCCTTTAAACTGGTACAAAACTGACACCTTTATACAAGGGATCATGTTTGCAATAACCACAACACAAGTAGTCAAAATGCAAACTAAAAGAAACAACTCTGATAATTTTTGAGTTGTACGCCTTTTGGTGTCATCTGGTTCAACAGCAATGGAGACTAGGCTCTAAGGAAAGCTGTCTCGGGTGTGGACCAATCAACTTCAAGGACAGTGCATATTATTATCATTATCAGAGTTGTTTCTTTTGTTTGCATTTTGACTGCTTGTGTTGTGGTTATTGCAAACATGATGCCTTGTATAAAGGTGTAAGTTTTGTACCAGTTTAAAGGGTAAAAACCTACTACTAACGGTCTACATGCTCGGAGGAGTTGCATGACCACAGCAGCGCAAGCAGCCTGTCGACGCTCCGACGAGGTCGATGTTTCCCACCGACCGGCATCCCCGTGGAGGAGGTGAGGTGGAATGTCAAAGAGCCAGGAGGTGCCCTTGGATGTCCGGGTCCCGAGGGTGAGCGCGACGGTGGGCTCGGAGATGTTGACTACCTTGCCTGGTGCACAGGAGGCCGTGGGTTTCAGACCCTACCCCGACGCCTGTTGCTGTATATTTGGAGTTGGCGGTGTCTCTCCTCTTCTCCGTGGTGGTCGCGTAGATTTTTCTCCAGGGGGTCCACCGGTTTCTTTTCCCCTCCACTTTTCAGAGTCAACGTCTCTACGTGTTTATATAGTTATTTAGCTGCTGCTAAAAAATGTCCACGTGATGATGATGATGATAAACAGCCACTCACTCTGTTGAGCTGCTATCATTTGTGATAGTCAGGTCACTTCTAAAAAAAGAGCTACTACACAGCAGCTCGGTGGGGCCTTACGGCTGGTAAAATAAAATAAAAAGTTTTAATACTTTTTAGTTCAGTTCATTCTGGACGTCCGCGTCGTTCCACTCTGGTTGCACAGCTGCAGCGGCAGCGTTCTTCCAGATCTGCTGCTGTCAACAGCAGAACACGGTCACCAGAAGGAGAATGGGGATTCATGAATCCAGCTCACCCAAATCGCTCATTAACCCACCCACTGACCCAGTAGTCACCCACTCACTCACTCAACCCGCTCATTAACCCACCCACTAACCAAATAGTCACCCACTAACTCACTCACTCACTCACCCACTCATTAACCCATCCACTGACCCAGTAGTCACCCACTAACTCACTCACTCACCCACTCATTAACCAACTGATCAAATAGTCACCCACTAACTCACTCACTCACCCAAACTGCTCATTAACCCACCCACTGACCCAGTAGTCACCCACTAACTGACTCACTCACTCACTCACCCAAGCCACTCATTAACCCACCGACTGACCCAATAGTGACCCACTAACTCACTCACTCACCCAAGCCGCTCATTAACCCACCAACTGACCCAATAGTGACCCACTAACTCACTCACTCACCCACTCATTAACCACCAACTGATCTAATAGTCACCCACTAACTGACTCACTCACCCACTCATTAACCACCAACTGATCAAATAGTCACCCACTATCTCACTCAATCACCTAACCCGCTCATTAAACACCCACTGACCCAGTAGTCACCCACTAACTCACTCACAAGCTCACCCACCCACTCACGAGCTCACCCACCTACCCCCACCTCACCTCACAAAACCGTTCACTAACTCACCCACCCACCCAAGGTCTCGCCTGGTTATTGTTTGGACTTTGCCGGTCGGCCTCGTCTGGCTTTGGACGGCGGGGTGGGCCGTCGCTTCGCAGAGGGTGGTTCGGAATCTTCCACCTCCTCCTGACTCTGCTCTTCCACCTCTACTTTGACCTTCACCACCACCTCCGCCTCCGCCACCTCCTCCTCCTCCCGCCTCCCCTCCTTGTCGTCTATGGGGAGTTGGGCCGAGTCGAACGGCTTCCCGGCCGTGTGAGATCGCTTGTGAGCTATCATGTGTCGCTCCTGGCCGACACAGAGAGGCACATATTTAAAATAATAAAACACACACACACGCACGCAAAGGTCAAACACAGAAAAAAAGTTCCCCCAATGTGGCCGACAAAGGCTGTTGGGAAGCAAGTAGCATATACCACCTGTAGTGTGTACAGTCCGTACCTGTGTGTATGTACCTGTGTGATTGTGTGTGTACCTGTGTAGCGGTTAAACCCGGCGACACGAGTTCGATTCCCGCTCACGGCCAACACCAGTGACGATTATCTGAACCGGTACCGGGCCTCCCCTAGGTCGACTCAGCCTCAAATGAGTACCTTGTGCGGTGTGTAAACATCGCCACTGGGGAGACAAAGGCGGTCGGGCGTGGTGCTGGCCACCCACCCCCTTGTGTACCGTTCCGGCCTTCATAGGTGCTCGCTAACAGCACTTGCCCCTACAGTCTGTTAAGGCTACATGGGGGATCTTTGTCTTTGTACCTGTGTGGAGAGTGGTAGTGTAGGGGTCAGCGCACTGCGCTACGAACCCGGCGACCCGAGTTCGATTCCCACACACGGCCAATGCCAGTGACGATCATTTGAACCGGTCCCGGGCCTCCCCTAGGTTTACTCAGCCTGAAATGAGTACCTGGGGCGGTGCATAAACAGCGCCACTTGGGAGACAAAGGCGGCCGGGCATGGTGCTAGCCACCCACCCCCTCGCGAACAGCACTTGCCCCAACAGTCTGTTTAGGCTATACAGGGAATCTTTGTCTATTTCATTGTTGTGTGCGTATGTATTTGTCTGTCTGTACGTATGAGTGCATGCTTGTACCTGTTTGCAGGCGTACTGCCAATGTGTGTATGTATTTGTCTTTGCATTTCTGCTTGTGTGTACCTGTGGATGTGTACCTGTGTGTATGTACCTGTGTGTATGTACCTGTGTATGTGTATGTATCTGTCTGTCGTCTCAGTCAGTCGACCCGTGGCACCTGCGTCGGCCCCGTGACCTCCTGCCAGCAGGCGTTCGACACTTCACGTGGCCTCAAGGTGCACATGGCCTGGCACAAGCGTCGTGGTGATGTCACCGCCACTTAGTGGCGAATGGCGGTTGTTGTTGTGTGAGTCTGTGTGTGTAGCTGTGTGTATGTAGCTTTGTGTATGTAGCTGTGTGTATGTACCTGTGTGTATGGATCTGTGTGTATGTATGTGTATGTATGTATGTACCTGTGTGTACCTGTGTGTGTATCTGTGTGTGTATCTGTGTGTATGTGTGTGTATGTGTGTGTATGTATGTGTGTGTATGTATGTGTGTATGTACCTGTGTGTGTATGTACCTGTGTGTATGTACCTGTCTATGTATGTATATGTGTGTGTGTATATATGTATATGTACCTGTGTGTATGTGTGTATGTATCTGTGTGTGTGTACCTGCGTGCAGGCGTACTGGCAGCGGTCGCACTTGAAGTGCTTCTCGTGGTGGTGGCAGCGCTGGTGCTGCATGAGGGCAAAGTGCTCGTGGAAGGTGGCCGCGCAGTAGCGGCAGCGCAGGCCACGACGCACCAGCGCATGCTGCTTGCGCAGATGCACGCCTGGGGGTGGGGGGAGGGGGCATGGGGGGTTAGAGAGGGGGAGGGGGGCACACAAAGGATGAGCAGTGTTGAGCCAACAGGTAACTCCGAGTGAGTGGGTGGGTGGGTGAGTTGGTGAGTTGGTGAGTGGGTGAGTGGGTGAGTGGGTGGGTGGGTAAGTGGTTGGGTAGGTGGGTGGGTGGGTGAGTGAATGAGTGGGTGGGTGAGTTGGTGAGTGGGTGGGTAAGTTGGTGAGTGGGTGAGTGAGTGGCTAAGTAAATGGGTTCGTGGGTGGGTTGATGGATGGGTTGGTGAGGGTGTTGATGTGCGAGTGGGTGGATGGGTGGGTAAGTGATTGGGTGAGTAGGAGGGTGGCTGGGTCGGTGAGTGGGTGAGTTGGTGAGTGGATGAGTGAGTGGTGGAGTGAGTGGGTGGGTGAGTGACTGGGTGGGTCAGTGGGTGCTTGGGTGATTGGGTGGATGAGTGGGTGCTTGGGTGAGTGGGTGGATGAGTGGGTGGGTGAGTTTGTGAGTAGGTGTGTGAGTGGGTGAATTGATGAATGGGCGGGGTGAGCTACTGAGTGGCTGCATCAGGGATGAGCCCCTCCGTAACCCCACCCCTCTCCCCCTTAGCTCCCACTAGCCCCCCCCCCAACTAGCCCCCCCACCCCTACCCCACCCCCCACCTCATACCCAGGTCACTCTTGCGTGCCGTGACAGCGTCGCAGTGCGGGCAGGGAAAGCGTGGAGCGGCCCCCTCCTCCGTGTGCTTCTGCTGCACGTGGGATTTCATGGAGCTCTTCTGAGTGAACCGCGCCCGGCACACTGGGCACTCGTACGGCTTCTCTCCTGGAGACACAGAGAGAGACACAGAGACAGGGTGAGACAGAGAGACAGAAGAAGAGACACAAAGACGTAGATATAGGGTGAGATGGAAAGACAGACAGACAGAGAGACAGAGAGAGAGACACAAAGAAAGACAGAGAGACGGAGAGAGAAACAGACAAAGAGAGAGAGAGTGAGAGAGACAGAGAGAGAGAGTCAGACAGAAAGACAGAGACGGAGAGAGACAGAGAGAGAGACAGAACGACAGACACAGAGATGGAGACACAGAGAAAGACAGACACAGCGAAAGAGAGACAGAGAGACAGAGCAAGAGGGAGAGATGGACAGAGAGAGAGACACAAAGACAGGGTGAGACAGAGAGACAGAAGGAGAGACACAGAGACATCGATATAGGGTTAGATGGAGAGGCAGACAGACAGAAAGACAGAGAGAGACAGAGAGAAGGAGAGAGAGACAGAGGTGAGAGAGACAGACAGAGAGAGAGAGACAGAATGACAGAGACACAGAGATGGAGACACAGAGAGAGAGAAACAGACACAGAGAAAGAGAGACAGAGAGAGAGGGAGAGATGGACAGAGAGACACAGAGAAAGAGACACACGCAGAGACGCAGAGACAGAGGGAGACGGTGAGAGACAGGCACAGGAATAGAGGGACACACACAACGACAGGGACACACACAACGACAGGGACACAGAGAGACAGATACAGAGAGACACCGAAACAGAGAGACAGGCGGAGAGAGACGGAGAGGGGAGATGAAGAGAGAGAAAGAGATTATTTTTCTGAAGATCCACATGATGATGATGATGATATCAGCCACTTGGATGAGCTGCTATCACTGTGGTGATGGGCCAGTCCGCTCGTCTAAAAAAGAGCTTGACAGTCGTGGCGCAGTGGGGACTTACACCTGATAACATACAAAATAAATACAATCAGTTGAGTAGTTTATGGATGTAACATGCGGGGAAATGAGTGATGAGCTTGGAAGGTGACGACGTGAGGATCAGAATATAGTTTATTTATCTTCTTGGTTCTTTCGGTAAAGTTACGTAGAAGGGAAATAATAAAAATAAAACATAATAAAATAATTCTCACGACGTGCCCATTCAGACGCTGTCTTTCCGACAGACCTGTTCTTCACCTGAGGACGGCTGCTTGCGTTGTGGCCGAAACGTCGTGAGAATTGTATTTTATTATGTTTTATTTTTATTATTTTATTATTTCCCTTCTACGTGACGACTTTACCGAAAGAACCAAGAAGATTTTGCATTATGTAACGATGGTTGATCTCCAGTGGCTCCTGCCCTGATAAAAAAATGAAAAAAAAAAATCCTAATTTGTTTTCCAAACTCTTCATGCTCCAAAGACAAAGATCCCCCGTATAGCCTTAACAGACTGTAGGGGCAAATGCTGTTAGCGAGTAGCACCTATGAAGGCCAGATCTGTACACGAGGGGGTGGGTGGCCAGCCATATGCCCGCCCGGCTGCCTTTGTCTCCCCAGTGGCGATGTTTACTACACACCGGACCAGGTAACTAATTTGAGGCTGAGTCGACCTAGGGGAGGCCCAGGACCAGTTCAGATAATCGTCACCGGCGTGTGTTGGCCGTGAGCCGGGAAACAAACTCGGGTTGCCGGGTTCGTAGCGCGGCGTAGCCGCTAACCGCTACGCCACCGCTCATGCACAACGCGCATTGACACACCACACACACAAGCCTGCGGCGTCAATTCTATCCAAAACTTTTGATTTGTCTCACAGACATGAAGGGATTTCCTTTATACTTCGGCGCCTTTCCATTACACCTTGATGTAGGTGGAGACGACATTGCTGAGAGGGTTTTCTTGCACAGAGTGCACACAAACGAGGTAGTAAAGTCCAAAGTGACGGGGGTCTGCACCGACGCTTGTCATGCTTGCCACGCTCACCCCACTCACCACGCTCACCCCCACTCACCACGCTCACCCCGCTCACCACGCTCACCACGCTCACCCCGCCCACCACGCTCACCACGCTCACCCCGCTCACCACGCTCACCCCGCTCACCCGCCCCCGCTCACCCCGCTCACCCCGCTCACCCCGCTCACCCCGCTCACCCCGCTCACCCCGCTCACCCGCTCACCACGCTCACCACGCTCACCACGCTCACCACGCTCACCACGCTCACCACGCTCACCACGCTCACCACGCTCACCACGCTCACCACGCTCACCACGCTCACCACGCTCACCGCCCACCGCTCACCACGCTCACCACGCTCACCACGCTCACTCACCACGCTCACCCGCTCACCACGCTCACCCCGCTCACCCGCTCACGCTCACCACGCTCACCCGCTCACCCGCTCACCCCGCTCACCCGCTCACCCCGCTCACCCCGCTCACCCCGCTCACCCGCTCACCCCGCTCACCCCGCTCACCCCGCTCACCCCGCTCACCACGCTCACCACGCTCACCCCACTCACCACGCTCACCCCACTCACCCCACTCACCCCACTCACACGCCACCCCACTCACCACGCTCACCCCACTCACCACACTCACACCCCACTCACCACGCTCACCCCACTCACCACGCTCACTCCACTCACCACGCTCACCCCGCTCACCACGCTCACCCGCTCACCCCGCTCACCACGCTCACCCCACTCACCACGCTCACCACGCTCACCCCACTCACCACGCTCACCACGCTCACCCCATTCACCCCGCTCACCCCACCCACCACGCTCACCATGCTCACCACGCTCACCCCGCTCACCCCACTCACCCCACTCACCACGCTCACCACGCTCACCCCACTCACCCCGCTCACCCCACTCACCCCACTCACCACGCTCACCCCACCCACCTTGCTCACCCCACTCACCATGCTCACCACGCTCACCACGCTCACCCCACCCACCACGCTCACCCCACTCACCCCACTCACCACGCTGACCACGCTGGCCCTGCTCGCTACGCTCGCCACGCTCACCAGACCGAGTCGTCGTTTCGCAGGGTGTCGCGCGCTGTCGCTCGTGGCAAATGGTACACGGTAGATTGGCAAATTTCCAATTCACTGTGTACGTGCGCCTAAAAGGGCAGCCGTGTAGAATTGTCCCCCAATTATGAACGATCGAATATCGAAATAACGGAGCTTTACGTTACGACATTCTCCTCCAGTCGGGTCTGCGGGAGATCGCGTGCCGACGGCGTACCGGAGTGCGTCCTCATGTGCCGCTTGAGTCTGTAGGCGTCCTTGCTGGCGTAGCTGCACATGCTGCACTGGAACGGACGCTCGCCAGTGTGCGACCGCATGTGGCGCTTCATCATGCTCACCTGTGCGGGTGCGGGTGTAGGGGGGGGGGGGACATAAACGGGTAGACATGGGTCAGGCATTGTTGGCTTCATTGGCACTGTTGTTGTTGCATCCTCCCCCCCCCCCCCCCCCCGCGCATCCACTTGGCTGAACCAAGTAAGTGGCTGATATCATCATCATCACGTGGAAATTTATAGCAGCAGCCAAATAACTCTAAACGCATAGAGATACGCAGAGAGACCCATAGAGATACACAGAGATCCAGAGATAAATAGAGACCCACAGAGATACATAGAGACTCATAGAGATACATAGAGTGCCCATGCATCTCAAGCCGTTGGTTGCGTTGTGAAGTCATGGGAGGAGGAGGATGGAGGAGGATGGACGGAGACATGTGGAGGAGTAGAGGGGGGAGAAGGGGGGAGATACAGGAAGGAAACGCTGGGAGGAGGGAGACAGAGGGAGGGAGGGAGGAGGTGGAGGGGGATGGAGGCACCTCGACGCTGGTGTACTCGCACGCTGAGCACTTGAAGGGCTTCTCCCCTGTGTGAACGTAGCGGCCGTGCCGCACCAACTCGCCCTTGGTTACAAACGCCATCGCACACTCGGAGCACTGGTGCGGCTTCGTGCCTGCGCGTTACACGCATGCACACAGTGTCGCATACACACACACATGCAGTGTCACACACACAAACACACGGTGTCACACACACATAGTGTCCAATACACACAGTGTCACACACACACGCAGTGTCAAATACACACATATAGTGTCACATACACACACGGTGTCGCACACACACACACGGTGTCACACACACACACGGTGTCACACACACAGACACACGGTGTCACACACAGACTCACGGTGTTGCATACACACGCTCAAGGGGTGTCTCAAACACACACACACACGCAATGTCACACACGCTCACGGTGTCACATGCACACACACACACGGTGTCACATTTACATACACACACGTGTCGCAAACACACAGACATGGCGTCGCATACAAGCGCACACACACACAACAACAACGACAGCCGTCCACCACTGTGTATGTTGAACTTCTTTCGCACCATACATAGACAACCGTGCTAATCAGAGGTGTATGTATACGCGTGTATGTACTGTATGTATGAATCTGGTGGGAGTGGTGGTTTCAGCGGTTAGCGCTACGCTGCGCTACGAACCTGCCTGAGTTCGATTCCTGCTCACGGCCAACACCAGTGACGATTATTATTTGAACCGGTCTTCGGCCTCCCCTAGGTCGACTCAGCCTCAAATGCGTACCTTATGCGAGGTTTAAACTTTGCCAATGGGGAGACAATGGCGGCCTCTGATCGCTAACGGCACTTGCCCCTACAGCCTGTAACAGGCTACACTGGGGATATTTGTCATTTTCTTTTGTATGTGTCTGTATCTGTGCATGTGTAGAACTTGGAATATGCCGCGCCACGCGCTCTGTGGGTCTGTTGCTATGCAAGCAAGCAAGTGTACAGTAGGGGGTATTTGAGGACGATGTTGTTGTTGCTGAGGCGTGAGGGAGACGCGTTAAGTGGCGTAACAGGTGTTAGGGGCAACCGGGGATACAGGTCGGTGATTGGTTAAGAGGTTGAGGGCTGAATGACTGGCGTCGCCCGGGCGGGAACAACAAGGCCACGTGAGGCTGGGGGGCCTGGGGGGGCGAGGGGTAATTGATACGGGGATAAAAGGGACAGCACGACAGAGAGACGGGAGTCTCTGGGTGGAAGCGAGTCTTGGTGGAAGCTGGAGTCTTGGTTAGAGCTGGAGTCTGGAGAGGAGTTGGAGTGATGGTGCCCGGACCGTAGCGAAGAGCAGGAGTAAGTAGAGAAAGATACGATAACGGTAGCAGTGGAGAGAGATAGGACAAAGTACGGTAGCAGTGGATAGAGGAGACAGAGTGGTAGCAGTGGTAGCAGTGCATCGGAGAGATACAGAGTAGGGTAGCAGCGGCGTGACGGACTCTGGGATAGCAGGAGAGAGAACGGAGAGACATAGAGCGCCATTGATGGCGGATAGCGTGACGGAGCGAACAGGGAGACACGGAGCGGTGATGAGGAGACGGTGTGGACTTTAAGGAGCAAATAAACGGAACGGGAAAGACAACCCGAGTACGAGTCCTACACATGTATCTGTATGTTCCTACATCTTTCTGTATCTGCATGTATATGTGTCTTTCTGGATGTACGTGTACGTACATACGTGTATGTATCTTTGCATGTATCTGTACCGGTGTGGGTGTTGATGTGGTTGCGTAGAAGCGTGACGGAGCCGAAGATCCGGTCACAGAGGTGGCAGCGGTGACTGCGCTCAGCGGTGGCTGCGCTCTTCCTCCGCACGCGCCCACACATACGGGGCACACGCATTAGCATACACTACACTATACACTACACTAAACACTACACACTGTGCACTACACTATACACTACACTAAACACTACACTATACACTGTGCACTACACACTACACTATACTATACACTACACTAAACACTACACTATACACTACACTACACCATACACTACACTATACTGTACACTACTATGCACCACACTATATACATTAAACACTACACTGTACTGTACACTACCATACACTATAATACACCATACACTCCCTACACTATACACTGCAATACAATATGTCACCACGTTCTACAATACATCACCCACCCACCCACTCATCCACCCACTCATCCGCCACCCACCAGGAATCCGCCCACCCCCCACTCATCCGCCCACCCACCCACTCATCCGCCCACCCACCCACTCATCCGCCCACCCACCCACTCATCCGCCCACCCACCCACTCATCCGCCCACCCACCCACTCATCCGCCCACCCACCACTCATCCGCCCACCCACCAACTCATCCGCCCACCCACCCACTCATCCGCCCCACCCACCCACTCATCCGCCCACCCACCCACTCATCCGCCCACCCACCCACTCATCCGCCCACCCACCCACTCATCCGCCCACCCACCCACTCATCCGCCCACCCACCCACTCATTCGCCCACCCATTTACTCACCCACCCACCCACTCACCCCATCCACTCACCCACCCACCCATTTACTCACCCACCCACCCACTCACCCCATCCACTCACACATCCACTCACCCACCCACCCATTTACTCACCCACCCACTCACCCACCCACTCACCCACCCACTCACCCACCCACCACTCACCCATCCACTCACCCACCCACTCACCCACCCACTCACCCACCCATCCACTCACCCACCCATCCACTCACCCACCCATCCACTCACCCACTCACCCACCCACCCATCCACCCACCCACCCACCCACTCACCCATCCACTCACCCACTCACCCTTCCGACTCCTCCACCTTCTCTCCTGCCCGCGACTCCACCGCGCCTCCCACCGCTCTTCCTCCTCCCCCTCCTCGCCCCCCCTCGCTTTTCCCCTCGCGGCACAAAGTCGGGGTCCTCCTCCTCCTCCTCCACCACCTCCCCCCGCTCCTCCTCCTCCGAGTTTTCGGTAGGCTCAGAGCTTCTCCAGGGCTCAACGTCGGCTTCCTCCCGACACCACCACTGGGTGGAGCCCTCGCCGCTCACCTCCAACCCCTCCTCCTCCCCCTCCTCCTCCTCCATCCTTTCGCCATTGCTCTTGCTGGGACCTCCGGCCACCAGCGGTGACGCAGGAGGTGGAGGCAGTGCCAAAGTGGCGGCGTCGCCGCCGCCGCCGCTGCTGCTGCAACGATAAATGACGGGTGGCCATAGTAGGCTAGGAGATGTTAACTACCTCTGCTGGTACGCCAGAGGTCGCAAACCGGGTACCCGAAACCCGTACCCTACCGGTACCCGGCCGGGTACGGGTACCCGTTTGCAACCCTGGTGCGGCCGGGTACGGGTACAGGTAGACCGTGAGTCACTGGTGAGTAACCGTTTGTCACTCATTTCCCAACGTGTTGTCTCTTCGCACAATTCAAGTTCCTAGAATCAACCCACCCGCGCCTGCAACATGGCTTCATCCCAGAGTTCGCAATCAGGTACCCGATACCCGTACCCTACCCGTACCCGCCTGGGTACGGGTAGGGTACGGGTACGGCCGGGTACGGGTAAGGAATCAAAACCCGTTTGCGACCTCTGTGGTACGCAGAAGGTCGTGGGTTCAATACTGACCATAACGCCTGCTGTATATTTGGAGTTAAAGTGTTTCTCTGTCTCTCAGTGGTCGAGGCGTTAGCACCGCGGTGGCGAGACGTTAACTACCTCGGCTGGTGTGCAGGAGGCAGTGGGTTCGATCGCGACCCAGACGCCTGCTGCTGCTGTATATTTGAAGTTTGCGTGTCTCTCTCTCCGTCTCCTCGTGGTCGCGTGGATTTGTCTCCGGGCTCCTCCGCTATTTCCCTCAACATTTAAAAACACGCGTTGGCAGTATTTAGCTGCTGCCATAAACTTCCACATGATGGTAAGCCGCTATGTGGAGCTATCATTCGTGATAGCCAGTTTGCTTCTAACATAGCTCAGTGGGCCTTAGCTGGTAAAATAAAAAATAGTTTATAATTTAGTTTTAGTTCTTTGGGTCTCTTTGTGTGAGTCTCTAGATCTCTATGTGAGTCTGTGGGTCACTTTGCAACACTATAGTTCCCTATGCATCTCTGTGTATCTCTATGTGTCTCTATGTATCTCTATCTCTACAGTGAGGGAAAAAGTATTTGATCCCCTGCTGATTTTGTATGTTTGCCCACTGACAAAGAAATTATCAGTCTATAATTTTAATGGTAGGTTTATTTTAACAGTGAGAGACAGAATAACAACAACAACATCCAGAAAAACGCATGTGAAAAATGTTATGAATTGATTTGCATTGTAATGAGGGAAACAAGCTGAGATTAGGAGCACTCCCTTTAAGAGTGTGCTCCTAATCTCAGCTCGTTACCTGTATAAAAGACACCTGGGAGCCAGAAATCTTTCTGATTGAAAGGGGGTCAAATACTTTTTTCCCTCACTGTATGTAGCTCTGTGGATCTCTATGTAACGTTGTAACAGAGGTGCTCATCTCGATGGGAGTCTCGCCGGCTGACTAAGCGAAGTCTCGAAACCTCACCTCACGTCCTCGCTCTGCTCCCCTTTCTCCTCCTCCTCCACCACCTCCTCCTCTTCCTCGGGACCGATCCTGCCCTCAATGGGGCCCGCTCCCGCTGCGATTCCGTCATCTGAAGCCCCTTGCTGGGACCACATGCCGAGCCGATCCGTCTGTCGTTGGTCCGTCTGTGCCTCCGTCCGCCCGCCCGTCCGTAGCACAGGGGTCACGCGACGGCTCTTGTCGTGATGTCTAGAACAAAGGCGGATGGGTGTCTTTGGTGGGGTGTAAGGTTGCTGCTGCTGCTGCTGCTGGGGACAGCATCGTCAGCATCATCAGCGGCAGCAGCAACAGCAGTGGTAGTAATAGCGAAAGCAGCAACATCATCAGCACCAGCAGTAGCAACAGCAGTAGCAGCAGCATCATCAGTAGTAGCATCATCAGCAGTAGCATCATCAGCAGTAGCATCATCAGCCGTAGCAGCATCATCAGCACCATCATCATCAGCAGCAGTAGCATCAGCAGTAGCAACAGCATCATCAGCATTAGCAACAGTAGCAATAGCAGCAATAGCAGCAGGAGCAACATCAGCAGTAGCATCATCAGCAGCAGTAGCATCAACAGTAGCAATAGCATCATCAGCAGTAGCATCATCAGCAGTAGCAACATCAGCAGTAGCATCATCAGCCGTAGCAGCATCATCAGCAGCATCATCAGCAGTAGCAGCATCAGCAGTAGCATCATCAGCAGTAGCAGCATCAGCAGCAGCAGCATCATCAGCAGCAGTAGCATCAGCAGTGGCAACAACAGTAGCAGCAAGATCATCAGCAGTTGCATCATCAGCAGTAGCATCATCAGCAGTAGCATCATCAGCAGTAGCATCATCAGCAGAAGCAACATCAGCATTAGCATCATCAGCCGTAGCAGCATCATCAGCACCATCATCAGCAGCAGTAGCATCAGCAGTAACAACAGCAGCATCATCATTAGCAACAGTAGCAATAGCAGCAGTTGCAACATCAGCAGGAGCAACATCAGCAGTAGCATCATCAGCAGCAGCATCATCATCATCAGCAGGAGCATCATCAGCAGTAGCATCATCAGCAGCAGCATCATCAGCATCAGCAGCAGCATCATCAGCAGCATCATCAGCAGCAGCAGCATCATCAGCAGCAGCAGCAGCAGCAGCATCATCAGCAGCAGCAGCATCATCATCAGCAGCATCAGCAGTAGCATCATCAGCAGTAGCATCATCAGCAGTAGCAGCATCATCAGCAGCAGCATCAGCAACATCAGCAGCAGCATCATCAGCAGTAGCATCACCAGCAGTAGCATCATCAGTAGCAGCATCATCAGCAGCAGCATAATCAGCAGTAGCATCATCAGCAGTAGAATCAGCAGTAGCAGCATCATCAGCAGCAGCATCATCATCAGCAGAAACATCAGCAGTAGCAACAGCAGTAGCAGCATTATCTTCAGCAGTAGCAACAGCATCATCAGCAGCATCATCATCAGCAGTAGCAACAGCATCATCAGCAGTAGCATCATCAGCAGCAGCATCATCAGCAGCATCATCACCAACAGCATCATCAGCAGTAGCAACAACAGTAGCAGCAGTATCATCAGCAGTAGTAACAGCAGCAGTAGCAACAGCAATACCAGCAGCAACAATAGCAGCAATAGCAACATCATCAGCAGCATCAGCATCATCGGTAGTAGCAACAGCATCATCAGCAGTAGTAGCAGTAGCAACGGCATCATCAGCAGCAGTAGCAACATCATCAGCATTAGCAACAGTAGCAATAGCAGCAGTTGCAACATCAGCAGCAGCAGCATCATCAGCAGTAGCAACATCAGCAGATTCATCAGCAGTAGCAATGGCTATAGCAGCGGCAGCAAAAGCAGCAACAGCAGCAGTACCAGCAATAGAAGCAAGTAGCAACAGCAGCAGTTGCAACAGCAGTAGCAACAGTAGAATCAGCATCATCAGCAGTAGCAACAGCAGCAAGAGTAGCACCACCAGCATCATCAGCAACAGCAGAAGCAGTAGCAACAGCAGACGCATCAGCAGCATCAACAGTAGCAACAGCAACAGTAGCAACAGCAGAAGCATCAGCAGTCGCAACAGCAGTAGCATCAGGAGCATCAACAGTAGCAAGTGCAGCATCCGCATCATCAGCAGTAGCAGCAGCAGCAGTAGCATCAGCAGCAGCATCAACAGCAGTAGCATCAGCAGCAGTAGCAAGTGCAGCATCAGCATCATCAGCAGTAGCATCAGCAGCAGCAGTAGCATCAGCAGCAGCATCAACAGCAGTAACATCAGCAGCAGCATCAACAGCAGTAGCATCAGCAGCAGTAGCAAGTGCAGCATCAGCATCATCAGCAGTAGCATCAGCAGCAGCATCAACAGCAGTGACATCAGCAGCAGTAGCAAGTGCAGCATCAGCATCATCAGCAGTAGCATCAGCAGCATCAACAGCAGTAGCATCAGCAGTAGCATCAGCAGCAGCATCAACAGCAGTAGCATGAACAGCATCATCACCACAACCGGCACCACCTTCACCACAACCACCACAATCACCATGAAAAGACAAAGATCCCCCGTGTAGCCTGTAACAGGCTGTAGGGGCAAGTGCGGTTAGCAAGCAGCGCCTATGAAGGCCGGCACGGCACACGAGGGGGTGGGTGGCCAGCACCACGCCCGGCCGCCTTTGTCTCCCTCTGTGCTAGCGATGTTAACTACGCTACACCAGGTAACTCCTTTGAGGCTGAGTCGACCTAGGAGAGGCCCAGGACCGGTTTAGATAATCGTCACTGGCGGTGTTGGCCGTGAGCGGGAATCGAACCCGGGTCGCCAGGTTCGTAGAGCAGCGTAGCGCTCACCACTACACCCACCGCTCTCACCACCGCCCCCATCACAACCACTACCACCATCACTACCATCACTACCAAAACCACAACCATCACAACCAACACCACCATCACCCCCACCATCACTACCACCACCATAACCATCACGACCACCACCATAACCATCACAACCACCACGACCATCACCATCACGACCATCACCATCAGACCCATCATCACCATTAATTACCACCATCAGCACCATAACAACCATCAACACCACCATCATAACCTGCATCACAACCATCATCACCACCACCATCACCACCACCATCACAACCATCACCGCTACCATCACCACCATCATAACTACCACCATCACAACCACCACGACCATCACCACCATCACAAACATCACAACCAGCACAACCATCACCACCACCATCACGACCATCACCATCACACCTATCATCACCATTAATTACCACCATCAGCACCATAACACCCATCATCACAACCATCATCACAACCACCACGACCATCACCACCACCATCACAAACCATAACCACAACCATCACCACAACCACAATCACCATCACCACAATCACCATCACCACCACCACCAGCACAACCATCACCACTACCATCACCACCACCATCACCACCACCATCACTACCACCATCACTACCACAACCAGCACCATCACCACCACCATCACCACCACCACCATCACGAGCATCACCATTAATTACCACCATCAGCACCATAACAACCACCATCACCATCACAACCATCACCACCATCACCCCCACCATCACCACCACCATCACCACCACCATCACCACCACCATCACCACCACAACCACAATCACCATCACCACCACCAGCACAACCATCACAACCATCACCACAACCACCATCACACACCACATCAACCACCATCACACCACCATCACCACCACCATCACCACCACCATCACCACCACCATCACCACACCCATCACCACCACCACCACCATCACAACCACCATCCACCACCACCATCACCACCACCATCATCCACCACCATCACCCCACAACCAGCACCATCACCACCACCATCACTACTCACCGCGGCGTCCTGTACGAGTTGACTCTGACGTCACCGGAAATCTTTCATTTCCGGTTTCGCCCGCGATCGAATTTCCGCTTCCGACGAGGTTCTTGGGTTTCAATGAATGAATGCGGAGTTCCCACAGGGTTCAGTGTTAATCAATGGGGCTCCTGTAGGGTTCGGTGTTAATCACTGGGGCTCCCATAGGGTGCGGTGTTAATCACTGGGGCTCCCATAGGGTTCAGTGTTAATCACTGGGACTCCCATAGGGTTCAGTGTTAATCACTGGGGCTCACTCCCATAGGGTTCAGTGTTAATCACTGAGACTCCCATAGGGTTCAGTGTTAATCACTGAGACTCCCATAGGGTTCAGTGTTAATCACTGAGACTCCCATAGGGTTCAGTGTTAATCACTGGGACTCCCATAGGGTTCAGTGTTAATCAATGGGGCTCCTGTAGGGTTCAGTGTTAATCACTGGGGCTCCCATAGGGTTGAGTGTTAATCACTGGGGCTCCCATAGGGTTCTGTGTTAATCACTGGGGCTCTCATAAGGTTCGGTGTTAATCACTGGGGCTCCCATAGGGTTCAGTGTTAATCACTGGGGCTCACTCCCATAGGGTGCGGTGTTAATCACTGGGGCTCCCATAGGGTTCAGTGTTAATCACTGGGACTCCCATAGGGTTCAGTGTTAATCACTGGGGCTCACTCCCATAGGGTTCAGTGTTAATCACTGAGACTCCCATAGGGTTCAGTGTTAATCACTGAGACTCCCATAGGGTTCAGTGTTAATCACTGGGACTCCCATAGGGTTCAGTGTTAATCAATGGGGCTCCTGTAGGGTTCAGTGTTAATCACTGGGGCTCACTCCCATAGGGTTCAGTGTTAATCACTGAGACTCCCATAGGGTTCAGTGTTAATCACTGGGGCTCACTCCCATAGGGTTCAGTGTTAATCACTGGGACTCCCATAGGGTTCAGTGTTAATCACTGAGACTCCCATAGGGTTCAGTGTTAATCACTGGGGCTCCCATAGGGTTCAGTGTTAATCAATGGGGCTCCTGTAGGGTTCAGTGTTAATCAATGGGGCTCCTGTAGGGTTCAGTGTTAATCACTGGGGCTCCCATAGGGTTCAGTGTTAATCACTGGGACTCCCATAGGGTTCAGTGTTAATCAATGGGGCTCCTGTAGGGTTCAGTGTTAATCACTGGGGCTC